TATATATATATTGTCAAAGATGTCATCTTGCTTGGATCCATAATCAATGTTCATGGAGGCAGCAGTCAGTGAATCAAACCTCTTTAAAGTGTTGAAAAGCAAGGATGTTACTTTGAGGACTCAGGTGAACCTGACCCAAGTATTGGTATTTTCAATTTCCTCACATGCACTTGAAAGTTGGAGCATGAAAAAAGGAGACTGAAAAATTGATATATTTGAATTCTGGTGTTGACGAAGCGTATGGAAAATACCATGGACTGCCAGAAGAACCAACAAATCGGTCTTGGAAGAAGTATGGCCAGACGGCTCTTTAGAAGGATGGTGAGACTTCATCTTACATACTTTGGCCATGTTCTCAGGAGAGACCCGTCCCCGGAGAAGGACACGATGCTTGGTAAACTAGAAGACAGCAAGCCCCATAAAGGCCCTGGACAAGAAGGACGGACACAGTGGCTGCAACCACGAGATCAGACGCGACAATTGTGAGGATGGAGCCAGACCAGGTAGTGCTTCCTTCTGCTGGGAACAGGATCGCACGATTCAGACACAACCGGACAGCACCTAACACCAGCGAGGTGGTGGGCAAGCACAATGACGACCACCAGGTGAAAGGCTGATGGGAGTGTTTACCGTGGATAAGTCAGGCTGATAACACCTGGACCCAGTGATTAACTTACACCACGTTGGGTGGGACAACCCGACGTTAGTGCTTCTTGAAGTGACGTCAAGTAAATAATAAGAGCTATCTTTTCAGTTATTTTATTGAAAAGCAACAAAATACAACACAAACCAACCAACCCTGAAGAGTTCTAGCTACTTCTTTAAAGAAAATATGAGGGGCAGAGGAGTATATTAAACGCCCTCATGAGGCTGCAAGTAGACTAATTTGGGATTCAGAACACTTCTACAAGAGACGTAATCAGGGTTTCTTCAAGAAAGAAAGGCAGAGGGTTAAGAGGACACAGTAGCCAAAGCCACGTGCAGACCTTGCTTGGGTCCTGATTCAAACGTCCCGAATGTAAGAAAGCACCTTGAGAGGACAGGGGAAACGCAATGTCTGAAAAATACAGATCGGATGGCAAACGTTATTCAAGCTGGTTAATTTAGTCCAGTGTGATCACGGTGAAATGGTGATTACATTAAAAAGCAGCCTTTCTCCGTGCAAGGTAGACTGTAAAAAAAAAAATATTATGGTGAATGTGATGTCTTCATGAACATAACATAGCTACACAGACAATATGGGTTACCTTTTGGGCTGCTAATAACCACAAGGTTCCTAGTTCAAACCCCCCAAGTACTTCAAGGGAAAAAGATGAGGCTTCATGGTCCTGTAAAAATTTACAGGCTTGGAAACCCTGAAGTGTAGTTCTCCTCTGTCCTATAGGGTCACAGTAAGTCTGAGCCGACTCCATGGCAGGGTTTTGAACACCTACCAGTGGAACACTGGAGTCAGCTTCAGTTGCGATGGCAGTGAGTTCAGTTGTTTGTTTTTACGGCACAGGTCAAATATTTATCCAAATAACAATGACACAAATTTCCTCTACTTTGCAACAGTTCTAATTTGTTATTGTGGTGGTGAGTGGCGCTGTAGTGTTCTAGACTCAACGAAGGAACTTTGGGTAGGCTCTTCTGAGTCAGAGAATCCTGGTCTTGGAAGGACGCGTTCTCTCCCGGCAGACCTGCCCAGTGTGGAGGCTGCTGCTGAGGGTCAGCAGTCCCCCGAGGGTCCGCTGACTTCTCTTTCCCCTGGGAATGTGGTCAGGAGGCAGGGAGGCCTCCCTCCTCTGTGCTAACGGTTGTGCCACACCCAGCAAGCAGGCCTTGGACGCTGTCACGCTGCAGGGAGTTTTAGGTAGAAGATGTCCCCTTGTGTCCTTCTACACATCACTGTGAGGCTGTAAAATGTGACGGCCCTATTTGAAGATCGTGTTGAAGTGGTTTATTCATTCTTTAGAAAGGAAAATCTTAAAAAGAAAAGATGATCTGTTGTAGAGGTCACCCAGGCCTTCCTAGACCATGGGGTCATGTTGCCCAGGGCAGCAGCCAGCTCCCCAGAGTTAATGATAGGCAGCCCCTTCTCGATAGTAACACTGAAAGGCCAATGAGAGGATCCAGGCCCACTGAGGCCAAGCACCGTCCATGTGCTTCTCATGCCTTGCCTCGGCCCCTGCAAGAAGCCTACGAGGCAGCATCCCTATCTCCCTACTGGAGTGAAGGTCACGGAAGCTCAAGAGGTCAAATCACTGGGTCGATGTCAAGGCCATGGCCAAGGAGTTCACCAAGAAAGAGACCAAGAGAACTACGTCTGTAGGTGTGACAAGAGTGGGGATGACCTGACACCAAGCAGCCGTTCTAGGAGCCCCGGGGATGTAGCAGTTACGTGTTGGGCTGTGTGTAATCCGCATGGTCGGTGTTTTCAAACCACCACCGGCGGCTCCATGGGCAAAAGACTGGGCTTCCTACCGCGGTCAACAGTTATAGTCTCAGAAACCCATGGGGCGTGGGTCGCTGTGAGTCAGCATTGACTCAGTGGCAGTGAGGCTGGTTTTGAAGCAATAGTGAAAAAGAGAAAAAGAACTATTTTTAAACCATGTTAAAGAAGTGATGGTGGGGTACACAGAGAAGAAAACACAGTGTATTTTGCCCCAAACGTGCTTGCCTGGGAAGTCCGAAAGCTCTGGGGCAGCCTGAGTGCTCCGTCCGGGGGCTACTTACTGCGTTCTCAGGATGGAAGATGTACGAGGCTGGAGAGTTGTCCACGATGATCACCTTGTTCAGCTCCCGCCCAAGGCGACTCAGGTCCTTCACGTAGTTCCCCCGGTGGAACACGCATGACTCTCTGAAGAGCCGGGCCCGGAACACGCCCCAGCGGTCCAGCAGGTCAGCCACAGGGTCTGCGTACTGGACAACAAGTGCCGTGATAAAGGCGGGGCCCCTGGAAGTGCTCGGAACCCCTGACCTCCTACGGCGACACTGGAGGTGTCTGGGGATCCTGGTTCTGTCCCTCCGGGTGTGCTTAAGACAAGCACTGCATTCTTTCATTTCTCCTATGGGACTGATGCGTGTGAGCAACTGAGCCATCTAAACGTCTCATCTCCACCTGCACCCCCTCTTTTGTCCTGGGCTTGGCTGGCTGCAAGAGCCCCTGGGGGCATCCCTTTCCCAGGCTATTCACCATTCATCCAGGTCCCCGTTTGAAACCTATGTGAGATGTCACTCCTCTGCTTAAATGTCTCCTCACCACCACCCCTAAGTTCTTGCAGCGAGCCTTGGCCGCGCACCTTGGCCACCTTCATCTGCGGCAGGAGCTCCATTCCTGCGGGCCCTCCTGAGTGGCACTCTGCCCCAGCTCTCCCCAGGACCATCTCTGACCAGCTCTGGGGCTCCTGAAGTGGCCACCCGGAGCCTGCCCTCCACCTGCCTTTCTGGGCACCAGTATCACCTCCCAGTCAGTCCCTTCACGGGGTCTTTGCTGAATTTCCCGTAGCCCATCAGGGCCTGTTGCTATGGGGGTGGAGGGTGGGGGGCTTACAAAGTGTGTGGGAAAACAAGGGAAAAGACAATGGGGCTTTTCCACAGACTCTTTCCTTAAACCTTTATTGGGGAATTGGCATCCACAGCCGACCTTCAGCTTTACATTGATTCATTGGTCTCACCTCACTCCCGACAGCCGCTTGGTGGGTGGGTGTTAACCCCTCATCCTGCTTCCCGGAAAAGTCTCCTGCCTGGCCTCTGCCCCTCCTCTCCCTCTCCTTGCCTTCTGAGCATTCTGTCTTTGGGCAAAGGGTGTCCCCAGGATCACAACTGGTTGGTTGTTCTAAGATGTGCGGACGTGGCCAGCGTATGTCTGTCTCCCTCATAGACCCGCGTATGGTTTAGCTGAAAACTGAGCCCTGGGGGTGAGGTCATTATCAGGCCAAAGGGTCGCTGAGGGCCATTGTCTTGGGGTTCCACCTATCTCTAGCTGACCAGGAAAACTGGCCTCTTTCACGACTGTGAGCTTTTTTCCATATTTCCCTCTCGTGATATCTAGGACCTTCTCATGCGACCCTTTCATAGCCGTTGGCAGTGGTAACTCCGGCCTTGGGGTCATTCCACAAGTGTTCTGCTGCCCCCTCGTGTTCCCCACTCCCCCCTCCCACACGTGGTAGGGAGCCCTATAACAATTGGTCTCATTAATGAATAAGTAGACTTTGCATCTGGCTTGTGGGCCTGAGGCCACACTGCCCCTTAGAGAGCCCCTGGCATTTCAGTCAGACCAGAGGGAAGTCCAAGACCCCAAGACCTGATGGGAGAGAGCTCCATCCTGCTAGACCCTCTCCCAAAGCCTGGTGGGGAGGAAGGGGAAGGGCCTTCCTCAAAGCAGGCAAAACTGAATTAAAAAAAAGGAACCCCCGCTGCCGAAGCACATCCCCATCCTGGAGGGAGATGTCCCAGTGGGTGGGCCACATTGAGTGGCTGGCCTGGAGGCGAGAGTGGTTATGTGAGGCCCAAAGGGAGGCCACCAGCACCAAGACCAGAGGGAAGAGAATGGCCGAGGTTCACAGGGGCTGAGTGGCCACCGGGGAGTGGAGAGTACCGGGCCTGGTGGTGTTGGCAAGGGCAGCAGATCCTGGGTGCAGAGAATATGCCAGCACAGCTGCCTACTGAGGACTACCAGACTATGCATGGCAGCCCTAGGTCCAGGGGACGGTCCTCCCTCCGCAGGAACATGATGAGAGGCAGTGCCCCAGGACAAGTAGGAGGAGGGCTCTGGGCACCGTGGTTTCCTGCTGATGAGGCCACGGACTGATTCTAGATGGGAGAGATGATGAGTTTCTCTACACTCACCAGCACTAGGGCCATACATCCTTCAAGGGAGCACCTTCGCTGGAGAGCCAAGGCCTCCAGGTGATTGTGGAGAACATAAGCTTCTCTTTGTTGGCCCCCAGCCTTGGGCAGTGCCCAGCACGCCGTTGCGAGCTGCCACTGAGCTGGTTCTGACCCACAGCAATCCCAGGCACAACAGAAGGAAACCCTGCACGGTCCTGTGCCTGCCATGGTTCCCAAGCTTGAGCCCATCGTGGCAGCCACTGGGTCAGTCCATCTCCTTGAGGGTCTTCCTCCGTTTCGCTGCCCCACTATTTTTCCAAGCATGATGTCCTTCTCCAGGGACTGCTCTTTCCTCACAACGTGTCCAAAGTATGTGCGATTAAGTCTCACCATCCTTACTGTAAGGAGCACTCTGGCCGGACTTGCTCAAAGGCAGATCTGTGGGTTCTTTTGGCATCTCACGGTACTTTCAATATTCTTCTCCAGCCTCGCGATGCTAACACATCGATCAGTCTTGCTTATTCAATGTCCAGCTTTCAGGTGTTTATGAGGCAGTTGAAAAAGCCATGCTCTGGGCCAGGGGTACCTCAGTCCTCAAAGCAACATCCTCGCTTTCCAAAACCCTAAAAGAGTTCTTGTGTGGCACACTTACCAAATGCGATGTGTCCTTTGGCCTCTTGACTGCTGTCTCCACGAGCATGGATTATAGATCCAAGCAGGATGAAACCCTTGACAATGTCCACGTGTCCTCCAGTTATCATGACGTTACCTACTGGTCCAGTTGTGAGGATTTCGGGTCTTCCCATTGAATTGCAACCCACACTGAAGGCTGCCACCCTCGATCTCCATCAGCAAGTGTTTCAAGTCCTCCTCAGTTTCAGCAAGCAAGGTTGTGTCACCTGCATACTGCCAGTCGTTAATCAACCTTCCTCCAGTTCTGATGTTGCATTCTTCTTCTTTACGGAATCCAATTGCTCTGATGACTCGCTCCGCACAGAGATGGAGTGAGTAGGGTGAGGAGCTACAACCCTGACACGCACCTTTCCTGATTTTAAACCGCACTTGTGGGACCAGTATTCCTATTCTGGTCCCACAAGTGCCTCGATCCATGTGCGAGTTCTGCATGAGCACAGTGGGTACATGTGTTTTGGCTTGCTGAGTGAAGGGCCCTGACTGTCAGCCTGGAGTTCCCACAGACCCCTGGGTGGAGTGTAGGGAGGCCCGCTATCCCCCGATGCCAGCCTGGGAGCTGAGACCAGAGCCAAGGACCTGGGAGTGGCCACCGGTCAGCAGCCTGGCTCACCAGGCAGGAGGGGCTGCAGGGCTGCACTAGGCTTGGAATAGGTCACCGGGAATGAGGTGCACCCACGTGTCTGTTGTCCCAGTGGTCCTGCACTCTCACGTCTGTGATCTCCTGGCCCTCTGGGAGGATGTGGGAGCTAGCAGCTGCAGGGAGCACTTGTTCTCAGTACTCCTCCATCGCCATGGAAACCCGAAGCCTTTCAGGCTGGC